AGAAGCCACAAGAAAAGAAAGGAAGTGGGGAAGAGTGTGGTCACAAAAAGCGAGGCACATTCTCAGAACTGTGTTGAGTGTTGCTGGGTCCGATGGGGATATAGACATGCCCGGCAGGTGTGCAGCACAGGGGCCTCGCTGACCTGAACCAGGGCCACGCCGGCGGCCAGCAGGTGAAGGGGCCAGAAGGAGGGGGCTGAGGCCTGAGCTCCTGCTCAGAATGTTTCAAGAGAAAGAGAGGCGGTAACTGCAGGAAGGCAAATGCTTGAGACAGTGCGAGGGAGTGACCCTGGGCAGATGCAGGGAGCTAGGAACAGAGATGCCCCCAGAGAGAAAACAGGAGACACAGTGGTAGGTGAACATGGGCTTGCACATGTGGCCGAGAGAAGATGAGGCTTCTGTTCTCTTGACTTATGTGCAGGCCACTGTACCATTTCTGGATGAATCAAACTAGCCTCCAGTCATCACTTTGGTGTCAAGACAAACGCTCACCTGGACTGGCTTCTCCATTTCATACGCCTTGGTGACAAAGGAGCAGGCCTGGTTTGGTAGACACTGTCAGATGAAAATGTCCTTTTTTTTTTTTAAGTGTTAGTCATTCAGTTGTGTCTGACTCTTTGTGACCCCAGGGACTGTAGCCCACCAGGCTCCTCTGTCCATGGAATTCTCAAGGCGAGAATACTGGAGTGGGTAGCCACTTCTGCAGGGTATCTCCTTGCCTAGGAATCAAACCCAGGTCTCCTGCACTGCAGGCAGACTCTTTACCATCTAAGCCAAAGTGGGACACAGTAGGGCCTCTTTGATATCATGTTAGCATATGTGACTTTTGTGATCCAACAGGGACAGAGTATGCTGCTGGTTCTTCATGTTGGTGTCTATTTCAAAACTGATCAAGAGCATTTAACAGATTCCACTAGATTGGAAGAAACCTAAAAAGTATGTAGGAGAGGGAAACAAAATTCTGGAAGCCAGAAAGGCAGATGGAGGCCCAAGAAGGCTGGAGCAGCAGAGAGCAGGGCGAGGTGGAAGGGAGGTGTCCCAGAGCACCTGACTCCCAACAATGCAAGAATGTAACAGACACAATAGATCCAGAAATGAGGCTAATTACAGGGCCACAGATCTTTCATGAAGCAGTGAGACCCCTCCATCCTCTCTACCACTCAACACCCCAAACAACTGCCCCTCACCTGGACCAGCCAGGGCCCTGAGCCTTGTTCTTTGGCAAGGTAAATCAGGATATCTGGCCTGGGCTGGACACTGAAGGAGGGACTGCAATTCTGAAAATAGGGGGATTTGCTGAAAGTTTACGCACTGAATGATGAGCCCCCGCCACTAAGCTGTTAGAATGCAAGGGCCCCAGCTCCAGCTTAGACCCTCTGGGCAGAAGTGTGCAGGAAACTTTGGAGAATCGGACCACAGACACAGGTGCTGGAATACACTGGCCACACCACCCTGCAGGGAAGACCCTGTGGACCTGTAATGCCCACAGGCACAGGGCTTTCAACATGCTCTGAAGTTCAAAGGATGGCTGGAAAATTTGAGGGAAAAATAGAGTGGAAGACGCTAAAACAAACATACAGAGATTCAAGAAAAAGCAAATGTCACAACATTCTCATTAATATCCTCAGAGAGGCAAGGAAAGCTAGTCCCCAGTGAGCAAGGGCAGGATGATTTTGTATTTTTAGCTGGTTATAGATGCAGACATCCGAACAATAACCAAGGGGAAACAGCACCAGGAAGTGAAGAGTTTGAGAGCCAACTTTAAAAATCAATGACTCAACATCACTAATCACCAGAAAAATGGAAATCAAAACCACAGTGAGAGACCACGGCACACCCACTAAGACAGCTATAATCCAAAAGGCAAACAGCAGTTACAGGTGAGGATATGGAGAAAGGACTTTGCTACATTAGTGCTGAGAAGGCAAAAGGATGGAGTCGAGACTTCCTTGGTGGTCCAGTGGTTAAGACTCTGAGCTCCCAATGCAGCTCCCAATCTCTATGGGAACTAGATCCCATATAACACGTGGCTCAGACAAATAAATAAAAGAGAAGAAATTTTCTTAATTCTAAGAGAAAAATATTTCTCATATGGAATTCTATATCCAACCAAGGTGGCTATTAAGCATGGTGGAGAGGCATTTTCAGATATGCAAGTTCTCAGAAAATTCACTTCCAATGTACGAGCTTCTTTTCTACAAAATAGAGGGAGTAAGTCAAGAAATAAAAACTGGTAGCAACCAGAAAACAGGGAATTCCACACATAAGAAAGGATACCACACTATCCAGCAACCCTGCTCCCTGGCATTTACCCAAAGGAGTTGAAAACTCAATGTCCACACAAAAACCTGTACATGGATGTTTACAGCTGCTTTGCTGAAAACTTGGAATCTAAAGTGTCCTTCAGTAGGTACACAGATAGACTATGGTACATCCAGACAAGAGAATATTATTCAGAGCTAAAAAGACATGAGTTATCAAGTCATGAAAAGATATGGAGGAATCTTAAATGCATATGACTAAGTGAAAGAAGCCAATCTGAAAAGGCTACATAATTGTGTGAGTCCAACTACATGACATTCTGGAAAAGGCAAAGAAATAGCATCTGTAAAACCATCAGTGGTTGTCAGGGACTTGGGGGAAAGAAAGATGGACAGGACCAGGGATTTTTTAGGGCAATGAAACTATTATGCATAATTAATGATGGGTAAATGTCATTGTATGTCTGTCCAAACCCACAGCACATCCACCACTAAGAGTGAATCATGACATAAACCATGACCTTTGGGTCCATGTTCACTGACTGTAAAACACACACCACTCTGCTAGGGGTGTTGATAATACAGGAGGCCAGGCATGTGTGGGAACAGGAGTGATAGAAAATCTCCGGGCTTTCTGCTCAGTTTTGCTGTGAACCCAAACGTGCTCTTTAAAATAGTCTTATTTTTTTAAACTAATTCATTTCAATCTTAATACTGCTTCTTGCAATATTTCCTAAAGAAAATATAATGATTAAGAAAAAGCATGTATGTCTAAATGATGAAATGTTATGTCATAATTGAATTTTGCTTTTTTTCAAATCTTATGTAATAAAATAGGGGGGAGAACTAAAAAGAGGTGAAAATAATACAGGGATGAGAAACTTTCTACCAAAAGGACAGCCGCACCCTGTAACAGGCTGAGGGAGCAGCCCATCAAGAGGGAAGCAGACAATGGGGGTGAGGATGCTAACGTGTCTGAGTGTGTTTAGAGGTGATTTTTCAGATGGGGCAGGGGTATAGAACATATTGCTCAGTTAGTGATAAGAGTGCAGAAAACCAGAACAAAGAAGATTGCTCACCCAGAGGAATGGAAAAGTGATTATAATATGGTAAGAAGCTCAATCGTAAAAAGGATTTACCTAGTCATAGTAACATAAATACTGATCTGAACTGAATTTCAATAAAATTCTGAGGGATTTTTGAGAGCGCATGAAAAATGAATGTGAAAAGATACATGTACCCCCATGTTCACTGCAGCACTATTTACAACAACCAAGGCCTGGAAGCAACCTAAGTGCCCCCAGATGGATGCATGGATAAAGACGATGAGATACGTATATACACCACAGCCATAAAAAAGACTGTGATCTTGTCATTTGTGACAAAATGGATGGACCTTAAAGACGTTATGCCAAGTGAAATAAGTCAGAGAAAGACAAATACTGTATGTTATCACTTATATGTGGAATCTATAAAACAAATAACCCAAGTTCATAGCTACAGAACAGATTGGTGATTACCAGAAGCAGAGAGTTCAGGGGTGGGGAAAATGGGTGAAAAGAGTCAAAAGGTAAAAATTTCCAGTTATGAAATAAGTCCTGGGAATGTAAGGTACAGCATGGTGACTATAGTGAACAATACTGTATGTTTGAAGCTATTGAGATAATAGATCTTAAAAGTTCTCATTTGTATTAATAACTGTATGTGGTGATGGATGCTAACTGGACCTATTGTGGTGGTCATTTCACAATAAGTAAGAATTTTGGATCACTGCATTGTACACCTGAAACTAGTAAAATGTTGTATTTTATACAATTACATCAATTATATCTCAACTTTAAAAAATAAATGTGAGGGTGGAGGGGATAAATTAGAGGAGGGATAAATTAGAAATTTGGGATTAGCAGACATACCCTACTATAGATAAAACAGATAAATGGCAAGGACCGGCTGTATTGCACAGGGAGCTATATTGAATATCTTATAATAAACTATAGGGCTGCCCAGGTGGCACTAGTGGCAAAGAACCCACATGCCAGTGCAGGAGATGCCAGCAATGCAGGTTCAATCACTCGGTTGGGAAGATGCCCTAGAGAAGGAAATGGCAACCCACTCCAGTATTCTTGCCTGGAGAATCCCATGGACAGAGGAGCCTGGCAGGCTATGGTCCATAGGGTCTCAAAGAGTCAAATACAACTGGAGTGGCTTAGCACTAGCACAATAAATTACAATGGAAAAAATAGGAAAATGCACATGTATAACAGAGTCACTGGTAAAGAATACACCTGCAATGCAGGAGACCTGGGTTCAATTTCTGGGTTGGGAAGATCCCCAGGAGAAGGGCATGGCAACCCACTCCAATACTCTTGCCTGGAGAATCCCCATGGACAGAGGAGCCTGGCGGGCTACAGTTCATGGAGTCGCAGAGAGTCAGACACTACTGAGTGACTAAGCACAGAAACTAACACAACATTTTAAGTCAACTGTACTCTAGTACAAATACACTTTTAAGAAGTGAACTGAGGGGTCAGGTTTGGGGTGCAGGGAGAAAACAGGGGTGTTACAAAGCTGAGGTCCCATCAACTCTAATGGGGAGCTCATAGATCTGGCCTGAATTGAACGGTCAAGCAGCAGGAATGGAAACATAGGAATAAGATTTTTTTTAATTTTAATAAGAGCTAAGAAAATAGTGTTTTGGGAAACACTATTTAACCCACACATGATATCATATTGGATTAGAGTGGAACCCAAATCCAGTGAGACTTTGTATACAAAGAAAAGGACACAAGGAGACACGGAACAGACCGGTGAAGACAGAGGCAGAGACGGTTGTGATGATGAGCAAACACCAGGAGCACTGGAAGCTGGAAGAGTTTCTCCCTAGAGCTTCAGGCAGGAGCTGTGGCCCCAACACCCCCAGAACTGGGAGAGAATGAGTATCTGCTCCTCTAAGCTTCCTGGTCACTTGTTACTACAGCTACAGGAAATTGATATGCCATCACACACATTTTTTCCTTCTTTTTATTATCAACCTATTTGCATCTGTATTTAAAGTTTTCTTATAAACAGCAAAAGAGTCAGTCTTTTTTTATCCTGAAATTCTTGCCTTTTCATTGGAAAGTTTAGGCCATTTACATTTAATTATAAACGGCTTGGATTTAAGGCAGCCATTTTGCTATTTGTTTTCCATTTGATTCACCGTTTGTATCTCTTCTTTCTTTGAGCTTACTTGAAGTTTTGGGTTTGGGGGTTTTTTTGTTTTTTGTTTTTTGTGGTTTTTTGCGATTTCAGTCTTATTTCCCTACTAGCATTTTAGGTATCCCACCGTTTATTATTTTTCAGTGGTTTCTCTAGGGCTGCATTGTACAAATGGTAGTCACTAGCCACCTGTAGCTATTAAATTTAAATTTTAAGCTAATTAGAATTAAGTGAGATTAAACTCAGTTCTTCAGAACAACACCCATATTCCAAGCATTCACTCCACATTTCTGTCACTGAAGAAGATGCTGTTGGGTGACTTATCACAATGTATCTGCATCACTACTACCCTGCTTTACAAACTGGAACTCTGGACGGTGGTTCCTTCACCAAATCCTATCCTTTGCAACAGCTTCACATATTTCATATATAGTTCATCTGCATATATTATAAACTCACAATACACTGCAAGGAGATCAAATCAGAAATCAACTCTGAATATTCATTGGAAGGATTGATGCTCAGGCTCCAATATTTTGGCCACCTGATGCAAAGAGCAGACTCACTGGAAAAGACCTGAATCCTAGGAAAGATTGAGGGCAGGAGGAGAAGGGGGCAGCAGAGGATGAGATGGTTAGACAGCATCACCAACTCAACAGATGTGAATCTGAGCAAACTTTGGAAGACAGTGAAGGACAGAGGAGCCTGACATGCTGCAGTCCATGGATGGGATCGCAGAGTCAAATACTAAGTGACTTTTCAAGATATCAAATTATTATAAGTTGGTGATTTTTTTCTATATTCCAGCACTTCCACTGTGCTGTTTTGCTGCCTTTTAGCCTCCATTTTCTCTGATGAAAAGCCAATATTTTCTATACATGTGTTTCCATGTGTTATTTTCTGTCTAAGGTCTCTTTTCTTTGGCTACTTTTATGATTCTCTCTTTATTTTGAGGGTTCAGCAGTTTGATCATGTGTGCCCATGTGCATTTTTCTGTGTCTTCATCCTGCATGTGACTCACTGGGTTTCTTGGATTTATTACTGAATATCTTTGATCGAATTTCAGAAATTTGAGGCCACTATTTCTTCAAATATTGTTTCTGCCCTGTTTTTTCCCATTTTTTTTCTAGGGCTCTAATTACACTTATTTTATTTTTTTCCATTTATTTTTATTAGTTGGAGGCTAATTACTTTACAATATTGTAGTGGGTTTTGCCATACATTGACATGAATCAGCCATGGATTTACATGTGTTCCCCATCACGATCCCCCCTCCTGCCTCCCTCTCCATCCCATCCCTCTGGGTCTTCCCAGTGCACCAGCCCTGAGCACTTGTCTCATGCATCCAACCTGGGCTGGTGATCTGTTTCACCCTAGATAATATACATGTTTCGATGATATTCTCTCAGAACATCCCACCCTCGCCTTCTCCCACAGAGTCCCAAAGTCTGTTCTGTACATCTGAGTCTCTTTTTCTGTTTTGCATATAGGGTTATCATTACCATCTTTCTAAATTCCATATATATGTGTTAGTATACTGTAATGGTCTTTATCTTTCTGGCTTACTTCACTCTGTATAATGGGCTCCAGTTTCATCCATCTCATTAGAACTGATTCAAATGAATTCTTTTTAATGGCTGAGTAATATTCCATGGTGTATATGTACCACAGCTTCCTCATCCATTCGTCTGCTGATGGGCATCTAGGTTGCTTCCATGTCCTGGCTATTATAAACAGTGCTGCGATGAACATTGGGGTGCACGTGTCTCTTTCAGATCTGGTTTCCTCGGTGTGTATGCCCAGAAGTGGGATTGCTGGGTCATATGGCAGTTCTATTTCCAGCTTTTTAAGAAATCTCCACACTGTTTTCCATAGTGGCTGTACTAATTTGCATTCCCACCAACAGTGTAAGAGGGTTCCCTTTTCTCCACACCCTCTCCAGCATTTATTGCTTGTAGACTTTTGGATAGCAGCCATCCTGACTGGCGTGTAATGGTACCTCATTGTGGTTTTGATTTGCATTTCTCTGATAATGAGTGATGTTGAGCATCTTTTCATGTGTTTGTTAGCCATCTGTATGTCTTCCTTGGAGAAATGTCTGTTTAGTTCTTTGGCCCATTTTTTGATTGGGTCATTTATTTTTCTGGAGTTGAGCTGGAGGAGTTGCTTGTATATTTTTGAGATTAATCCTTTGTCTGTTGCTTCGTTTGCTATTATTTTCTCCCAATCTGAGGGCTGTCTTTTCACCTTGCTTATAGTTTCCTTTGTTGTGCAAAAGCTTTTAAGTTTCATTAGGTCCCATTTGTTTATTTTTGCTTTTATTTCTAAAATTCTGGGATGTGGGTCATAGAGGATCCTGCTGTGATTTATGTCGGAGAGTGTTTTGCCTATGTTCTCCTCTAGGAGTTTTATAGTTTCTGGTCTTACATTTAGATCTTTAATCCATTTTGAGTTTATTTTTGTGTATGGTGTTAGAAAGTGTTCTAGTTTCATTCTTTTACAGGTGGTTGACCAGTTTTCCCAGCACCACTTGTTAAACAGGTTGTCTCTTTCCCATTGTATATCCTTGCCTCCTTTGTCGAAGATAAGCTGACCATAGGTTTGTGGATTTATCTCTGAGCTTTCTATTCTGTTCCATTAATCTATAGTTCTGTCTTTGTGCCAGTACCATACTGTCTTGATGACTGTGGCTTTATGGTATAGTCTGAAGTCAGGCAGGTTGAGTCCTCCAGTTCCATTCCTCTTTCTCAAGATTGCTTTGGCTATTTGAGGTTTTTTGTATTTCCATACAAATTGTAATTACACTTATTTTAGATGAGATAATATTCATCGACAGGCCTCTGGGAATTTGCTCATTTCTCCTCAGTTGCTTCCTCCCACCCCACCCTGTAGATGAAATCATTTCTATACATCTGCTTTCTAAGTCTTCAAATTGTTCTTTCATGTTCAACCTGCTCTTAAGTACATCCAATGAATTTTTTATGCTATTGCACTTTTCAGTTTTAGTATTTCCATTTGCTTCCCTTCAACAGTTTCAATTTCTTTGCTGAGATTCTCCATCAGTTCATTTATCATGTCTACATCTTATTTGAAATCTTTGAGCATATTCGTAACATCGCACAATGCATAGGACATGCCCCAACACAACAAATAATCCAGCCTCGAAGGTCGATAGTGCAGAGGCTGGCAAGTCCTGCATTATAGGAAGCTAGGCCTCCACTTTCACTTTAAATGGCTATGTTTTTATAAAATTTCCTCACTGCATTGTTTAATGAATCCTCTCAAACTATATATCAGACTAATCAAACAGAGCCCCAACCTGGGGGAGAGAAGCTCAAATTGATCCTGCCTCTTTTCTACAATTTTACTGAAGTTTCCAATGGAATGGTGTTAAAATGTGCAAAACTGGCATCAATAAAGGGCCACATTCATCAATTAAACATATACCCACACAAAGACATTAGACACACCCTTTCATTACATCCTAACCATCTGTTCTTAGAAAGGAAGTTCACAGGAAGACAAATTAAGAATGGAAAAATCCTGTCTGCAGCAGTGAAGATTACACAAGATTACATATTATATCAACCTGCTGTAATGTTACATTTACTTGGACTCCCCTCAAGGTTTCTATTTTCAGATTCATAATCAATCTTTGACATTAGAAATTGTCCATATATATAACCCAATGATTTTAAATCACTTAAAAAACCTTAAACTTTTCTAGTAGTTACATATAAATATTAAACATTTTATTCTGAATTATTCTATGCACATATCACATAATCCTATTTTTCTAATAATTGGTGTTGAGGTGGGGTAAGTCATTATGGCTTATGCATAATTTAACATGAACTTTATGCTCACTAGAACAGCCTGTCTTATGACCTGTCAAACATGCAATGTCCATCTGCCTGAACCACTGAAGGCAAGAATGTGTTGTGGTTTTTTTGTCTTTTTTTTTTTTTTTTATAAGTTGGAGGCTAATTACAATATTGTAGTGGGTTTTGTCATATATTGACATGAATCATCCATGGAGTTACATGTATTCCCCATCCCGATCCCCTCTCCCACCTCCCTCTCCACCTGATTCCTCTGTATCTTCCCAGTGCACCAGGCCCGAGCACTTGTCTCATGCATCCAACCTGGGCTGGTGATCTGTTTCACCCTAGATAATATACATGTTTCGATGCTAAAATCTCCACACTCCACAGTCATCAAGACAATATGGTACTGACACAAAGACAGAAATATAGATCAATGGAACAGAATAGAAAGCCCAGAGATAAATCCACAAACCTATGGACACCTTATCTTCAACAAAGGAGGCAAGAATGTGTTTAAAATTGAAATGGAGTAGCTCTGGTTCAGGAAAATGGAGCTGGGTGGCCACTGTGGATGTGGTTCCAGACTCGTTTCTGGATCACTGACAAACCTGAATATTCTGAATTGTGTCAGACTCAAGGACACCATCAGACTTTCTCAAAACAGTAGCTGCTGGTCGCTGCCAGTTTCAACCTTCTAGTCTAAAGGTCTCCCCTTATAACTACGCAACCATTTCAGACCCTGATCAATCTGATTTAGCAAACACCTTACTTCTTACCTTGTGGCTCAGCTGGTAAAGAATCTGCCTGCAATGAGGGAGACCTGGGTTCGATCCCTGGGTTGGGAAGATTCCCTGGAGAAGGGAAAGGCTACCCACTCCAGTATTCTGGCCTGGAGAATTCCATGGACGGTATAGTCTATGGGATCGCAAAGAGTCAGACATGACTGAGCAACTTTTACTTTCACTTTTCACTTTCACTTCTTACCAGATCCAGTTATCATTCTTGACACACAAACTATGTAATTGTGCGGGTTTTGTCATTATTAGCTGCCCTCAGTTTGTAGCTCAGAGGAAT